CAAGATACTTAACAGAACTGGTGGGTGTTATATGCCTCCACTCACAGATGCTGGGTTGAGTGGGAAATTTTTGTGTTTTCTCTAATGATACAGATCACAGATAGTTCCTGTCTCTCAGCCCAACCAGTAGCGATTTTAAGTGACGTCTCAATTACCCGTGATAGTAGGTCGGGATGTTTGCCCAAAGATAGGATGACAAGATCGTCCACGTAAGCAGCTGAGGTCACTGGTATATCTGACTGACAAGTAATAGCGGTAGTCATGGGATTTTGGGAATGACTTCAATAACTACTGATTCACATACACCTCGTCTATTGTTCAACATATGGTTCAAGATGACAAGTAAATTTTGGGTTAATCCAAATGAGGCACTAGACGAGATCAATGCGTTAGTGTTTGCGTCGGTTGTTAAAATTGCACTTCCCAATGAGGTTCTCTCAATTCTAATTTATGCATTTAATAATAAATAAAAATACCTATCCCGCTTCTGCCGAAATGATGAATGACTGACACTTTCATCTCATTTCGTTCGCCAAGCACAGAACACACTAAAACACCTATACATTGAAGAGTCGCACAATACCGAAATATCACCATCACCAACCCAAAACAATGAGCCGCCGACTCGCAACCGATTTACAGCGGCTACATGAACGACGATCGACCGAAATGCACATGCGACCGCGCCCGACACAACCGACAGCGGAGGTGGTATTGCATGCAACAGTATTTACTTAGCAGCAATTGAATTTATCTCTAAGTTCGTTCAAATTGATAGTCGTCTAGTCACTGTCGTCTGTTGTCTCTGCATCGAATGTGCTCCGCTTGTCAGTCTACCACGTCGTGGTGTGTACTTTACGATTATTCGCACTGGAAGTGGTAAAATGTTTTAATAAACTTGACTATGGAACAAAAACAAAAATGTCCCACATGCAAATGTGTCTTTGTCTGTTTGAATGTATATCGGTATGTAACTCCAAATATAAACTAACACAACCAACCAGCAATGGAGGAGTGGAGTCACTGTTGGCAATGGCAATGGCGAAAATCGTTCATGTCATTGTCAATGTTTGACTTTTCATTGCTGTTGTTGGTGTTGCTGTTGCTGTTGCTGTTGTTGAGCCATGACAATGTACTCTACAACATACTCACCACTTACCCCACCCACATTGCCCCACCAACATGTTGCACTTTTTGTGCTGTTGCCTCACTCGCAAATTGCCATCATTATTTTAATTCTTATTTATAGACACAAATACAATAGTTGCCTGCAACGTAAGACAACACCAACAACCACAAAGCTACGTTTTTAGTTGTTGCATGCAACAATTGCTCTTGCGCGTCCGCAAAACAGGCTTTGGCATATTTTAGCATGCCAATCGCGTTGCCCTTTTGTGCCTTAACTCATGGAGACTTGGCTTACGTTAAGGTAACAAGAAAACTATGAACGAAAACATAATTGTAAATATATGCATTCATATACAATATATATACATATGTATGTACACAGATAGTTAAAAATACTTATATGTGAATGTATGTCGCCTTTTTTGCCCACCAATCTCTTTTCGCTCTGAGCTGCCGATAAGATCCGGTTTTAACTTCATCTCATTTAGTAGGCCCACACTGAAATACTCATATTTGTACATATATATATATACATACCCGCATGTGTGCTTGGATTTGTTGACCTACTTCCGGTAGTTGTGACAATAAATTGTTCTTGTTTTTGATGTGAATACTCTCAACACATACAAACGTATATACGTGTACGTATCTACAAATCTTAGTCCGGCAACAAAGTGTCTGCAACATTTATACGAATATTCAAACGAATTCATAATTTGATACGAAGGCGGCTTAGTATAAACTGTAGGACATCTAGACGCGTATGACAAAAATATAAAATATTTTGTATTTGTCATGTTGTGCTTGAAAAAAGTTGCACGCTACAGAAGTGTGTACAAAATCTAAGCTTCCTCATTTTTGCGAGGTTGTTCGGGAAACGCCATATATGTATGTATGTATGTAGAAACCAGCACCAAATAAAAATAGAGGACAGCCTCGGATGAGAGACTCTACTTCTGATGAAAACCCCTGCTAATGTAATAAGAACTATGATCTAAGGACATGCACCTGGAATAACCGGATCCCTAATTGGGAGGCTGTCGCGGTCCAGCTGTTCGATGGCTTTGTAAGACTAAAGGCTGACATCGCCGCCTTCGATGAACAAGACGGGAACGGAGACAATGGGTGCTTGTTATATTTAGTACAGTAGACGTATAAAGTAGCGCTAATTTGGTGTTCCATTTGTGGCGGAAGAGATATTCAGTCGATGGGTTTTGGCATTCAAACCGGTGATGAACTATGTGATGCTTTCCATAACTGTGTAAAGTGCACCTATATGCGCTATACCCCTTCTGACAATATATATCAGCTTAAAGAGTTTATAGCCAGGACTGTGCTTCTTTAGTCCTTTTAATGAAACCTCTCCAAATGAGCTAAATCTGCTCAACTTCGCTGATGCTTGAACTATGATTATCTTTAATAACAGACTCCGAGAAAAAAAATTCATTAGCATAATTGGCTACAGTGCAACAGAGAACTTGAGAAGAAATTAATATATTGTTGCGAAAATGCAAGGCGAATGTCAGATGAAAGAGAGAAGCCGATAATTAGTACATTCTAGAACGATAAAACGCGAACCTTTGATAGCGAGCAACTCGAATATTCTACACTTCCGTCTACGAACAGCCGATTGCTATATAAGGGCGACACTCAGCTGCCAATTGAAGTCAGTTACAAAGTGAATTCGTTGGCGTTAACATCAGTAAAGTCGTAAAATGAACACGTTGGAGATTACATTTAAGTAAAGTAAATTGTGAAAGTTGATGCTAGTGATTGTAAATAGTAAAGTGCTTTTTAATTGAATGGTGAATTACTGAGTAAATAAAGGATATTAGATAAATTCCTCATAACGAAAGAAACTGCAAATTAAGTCGGCGATTTTTATTTAACAATCCAGAGATCGTACCCGAAGGATTCAGAAAATCATCGAGGTTGATTTTGTAAAATCGTAACAATATGTACATATGTTGAGCGCGAAGCTTAAGAAATAGGTTACTTTATTATGTCAATGTACGATTATTTCGGAAAATTTCGTAAAAAATACATCGTCACTTACTTACTGCTTGGGTTCTTTTTAATTAAGTCCCACTGACTGCATTGCACAGGTTCGATATCCAGCACAAACAACAGCATGATATCTAATGTGCAATTCCACAGATTGACCAGCTTGTTTGTGCGGTGTGGGCTTACTATCTCACTGTTACCGGTAAAGTAAATTTTGTTACTTTTTTGGTATTCTGGCGAACTGGTTACAATGTTTGAAAAGACTTTGGCAGTACTGCTTTTTTCGTCCATGTCAAATTACATTTGCCAGTTGGTAAAGTAAAAAGAAAAATTTTCCCGGCTTTTACTTTGACAATCAAATTTGAAATATAGTGCAGTGCTTCGGAAACAGAAGGTTGGCTCATTGCAGTTAGACAATTGCTCCCAACGACTTTCTGATACGACCCGTGGGAAAGGAAATATACTGTTGAGAGAAAACCGTAAATATTTAAAACAGCAACGATTTCTGTATCTAAAAAATTTTGATTAATTGTGATTTGAAACGAATTTTGCAGATAAATCGATTTTGACAGCTCTTCACCGCCATGCTTCAATAACTCTACCGGTAGGCCGTCAGCTCCAGCCGATTTGTTGATTTTTAAGCACAAAATCGCTAATCGAATCTCAACATAGACGGGAAGTGTTACGTCCACCATCGCCGAGTGTTTCATTTTCAGTATCATTCAGCAGGCTGGAGCAGTGTTCCCTCCATAAATTTAGTATACTTTGATCAGTGCTGTCTGAGAGCAGGAGTGCAAGTCGAGTAGAAAACCGTTAAGCTGTCGGTTGTGGTTACAGCTTTTTGATTTCGAAACTTTTTTGTTTTTGTTGCGGGTCGCTCCGAGTCGATATTAGGTCCTCGGAGTGTAAGCACGTCAAGAGCACTGGAGACATGTCTTCCAAATTATGCGAAATATTTTTCTATTTATAATTTTATTAATTTGCACATTCATTAATTTTTGCAGTATGGAGTTTCATTTAATTTCTGTGTATAATGTAGAAAAAATAGCTATATTATTTTAATTTCAAAAGTATTTATTTAGCGTTTAAAATGAATGAAATATAATAAATCTCATGTCAATTACCTAGCGTTTCTCTTACTTTTTAACTCCTTTTTTGCTATTTTCCCCTATTTTTTTTTAATGCAACATATTTTCTCCCTCTTTTTACTGCTTTCCAAAATGCAACCATTTGTAAGGTAGTGTCAAAACCCCTTTGTCACTACTTATCTAACCTCTAGTTATTGAATCAAGTTCCCTTGTCATATAAATCCCATTCGTTTGTAAGCTCTAAACAAATTGTTTTGTTGAGTGCGAAAATACAGAATGATAAATTAAAATGGTAATTTTTTTCTCGCAAACTTCTAAGCAAGCATCTTCTTGCACTTTTTTTTTCATCTTTAATCAATTCTAGACGAAAAATATGTCTAAACATTTTGGTATTTTATTTTTTCACAAATTAACAACACAAAAACGAACAGCTGATTGTTTGTTACCTCCCATTTCGCTGGTAACAAAATCGACAGGGTGACAGTGAACTCAGAATACGAAATAGTAACAAAATTTACTGAATGGTAAATTTTAATACCAAAGTAAATTTTGTTATCTCAACAAAATAGGCCTGACAGCGATAAAATTAAGATATTTTTATACAGTAAAAACAAATACAAATACGAAGGGAAAAGTTGTCAAGTCATACAAGTATGTACACTTTATTAAATACTGTTAAATGAGTCAAAAATAAGTCACGTATAAAAAGCGCGCATATAAAAGGAACAGGCACAGAGGCTAATGGGCTGTCGTTAGAATTTTTTCAACCATCGCGTTAATATGTTGTCTCAGGCATTAGCTGTGCTTTCCTATTTGAGTAGGTGGCAAGTCAACGCGGCACATGCTGTAGACAACTTTGAAAAATTTTCCCTGCTTCAAAGTAATACTGCCGACTTTACGCGCGGATTCCAGCGTCTCGTACAACGTATACAAGCGGAGAATTATTTTGTTAGTTATTTTCTATTAAAGAATCAGCCAGCGGATTGTGTCGACGAGCAATTACCGTTAAATTTTGCACTACCCTTCATGCAACTAAACGAAAGTGAAACAATTTATGTGCGCGGTAGTGGCAATAGCTTCTTATTGGCCATACTGTGTATTGATAAATTAACTAAAAAGGATTTAGTTTCGAAATTCGCCAGAGACTTGCAGCACATACGCACCAGACGCGTCTTGGCCATACACAATGGAAATCTTACGGCGAGTGCTCCATCTGATAATGAGAACTTCTTCCGACACTGTATGCAGGAGAAATTTCTTCATGTCATACTCATACATCGCGACTTCGCCACAACAAATCTCTATCATTCCTACAATCAATTTCCCAACTTCGAATTGGAAATTCGCAATCTGCAGTCAAGGTCACCAATCTATCCGAATCGTTTCGAAAATGTCGGCAGAACAAAATTAAGAGTTTTACCCGATAAAATTGCGCCAATTACCATATTACATGAAATCGGAAACAAAACCATCTTGGAGGGCTACATCGGCTACTTTCTGAAGACATTCGCAGCAAGATATAATTTTCAACTTTGGTTGCCTGATAATTATGTATTGAGTGCAAATCGTATTATTTCCATGGAAGAGATACGTCAGGCCGCGCGCAACAATTCGATCGATGTGGGCGCAAGTTTGTCGACCCCACAAAAAGCGGCTAACTTACACGAATACATCTATCCCATTGAGTTCTTTCAATGGTTGACAATGTTGCCGGTGGAGCCGCCCTTGGAAGCATATTACTTTTTCATCACCATTTTTAGACCAACATACTTGCTTGCCATATATATTATTGCCTATTGTGTTTGCATCATATTTGCGATTGAAGTGAAATTGCGTGGCGGAAATTTTCGTTGGGATCGTTCCTTGCTGCTTATACTCATAAATCCCTGGAATTTAGACCTGCTACGCGGCTTCCTCAGTCAGTCTACCGCAATGCGTTTAAACTCAGCCACCCGACGCATCATTTTCTTACAAATATTCGCAATTGTTGGGGCACTGAATTACACATTCTCAAGACATATGTTCAATTGGCTTACAGTACCGCCACACGGTCAACCGATTGGTAAATTTAGTGATTTGGCTGAGCATAATCTTAAAATACTCATCCCAGAGCCCGATATAGCGGAAATCTCATTTTATCGTGGTGAAAATTTTTGGCTTGAATATGGTCATATATTCAAAGTGGTGAAGACTTTTGAAGAATTTGAGGATGGCCTACGCACAATGGATAATCGTTATGCTTATATAATGGACACATTAGTTTGGCCCATAACGGAACAACGTCAAATGTATTTCAAACATCCAGTATTTCGTTTATCTAACGAGTTGTATTACACAAAGGGTGCCCTATTGAGTTTACCAATCAGTGAGAATTCTATGTATAAAGATCTTTTAAGTGCCTTTTGTTTGCGCGCCCAGGAAAATGGTCTACTAGACCACTGGTATAAAATGACTTTCTTCACAATGCTCTCGCTGGGCCGTTTTAATTTAGAGGATACCAGTGACTACCGTGGTCACGAGATGCTTACCTTAAAGGAGTTTGAATGGGTGTGGATTGCATTTAGTGTTGGCATGGGATTGAGTGGATTGACGTTTGTATTGGAGGGTGTTTGGTATAAGTTCACATTAATATTAGATAAATAATTTCTATTTTAACATTTACCAAAAAATGGATTTCAGTCAAGTTCGTACAATGTATTATGAGATGAAGCGTTCAGCGCGTGAATATTCCAATTCGATATATTTAATTTAAATAAAAGCGCAAAATGTAAAAAAATACTACGATAGAAAAATTCATGAGCACAACCAATCAGTCAGTTCGTCCGGCAGCTACCATATTTATAAAACATTTCCGAATGAATTAAATATCGAAGAAAATCAAAACCAATAAATAAACCAAACTAATTAAATTGTTCTTAATTTTGATGGGAAATTGCTACGAAAAAATAATTGCTACACTCTGAGGTCCCGAAATTAAGGCCAGGTTGGAGTAAAATAAAACACACAAGGTTTAACCTTTCGATTGTGATTTTTTATTGATTCATAAAGTATTTAGGAGACAGTTATTTATTCAATAAGACATGACCTTTACAACATTTCATAAACACAACAAATTTTCAAAGACTATTCCGCATGAGTGTTACTGTGCTGCAACGTTGAATCTCCTCCTTTGAAGCAAGCAAGAATGTTTGGGGACTTTTTGCCATAGACCTTTGGTTTCAGATAACCGAATAAAAAGAAATCTAAGCGTGTTTAGGCCAGGTTCATCTAAGAAATTAAAAAAAATCCATTTTTTCCTGTAAATTGCTAGAAAATTCTGTTAAGAAGAATATAGAATTAGTCCCGCAAATACTTTAATCGCCTTTTTGTCGAAACCAAGTTTTTTCAACAGGGTGACATTCTTATTTAGAACCTATTGGACTTATCAAAATGAACTGAATGGCATTTTACTCCTAAAATGTACCTCTATGGTCGGTACGACAGACTCATGAAACAAAAGGGAAGAACCAGGGCGTGCCAATTGCCATTTCAGCCACCTACGAGATTGCTGAGAGACTATTTCACCGCTAGTTAATAGCAAACTACCAGAGACTGACAAATTACTGTACCTCTATGGTCGGTACGACAACCAACCTTGTTTTTAAAAAAAAACGTTTAAACAATTAAAATTGAAAAAAGGGTAAAAAAAAGTTAAAAAGTCCGCTATTTTGTTTTATCTTTTTTTGGTGAAAATGTGTCATTGTAGTTCCGGTCATAGCCAATGTGATGATTTTTGCTTTGAAATGATTCGTTTTACAGTTACCGTGGCACTCATCAACCGAAGGGACGTGTTTCAGCAGCAATTTAAAAACCGCCATTTAAAATTTTGTTTTTGCAATTTATATTTTTATACGTCCACTTTGATTTATAAATATTTTTTTTTAATAAATAAAATTTCTTTGTTTGTTTTTGGGGGAACCTGGCCTTAAGTCACATGTGCTAAGGGACCATTTCTGATGACCAAAACGAGAGAGTAAATGACGTGGAAATGTCTCATGCTGTAATTGAAGTATTTCACGGACTGTACGACATGTGGCATCGTCTTATTGAAACCGCAAATGGGCCACATCAAAATCAACCGAATTCGGCAAAAGAAACTGAGTTACCATGTCATGAGATTGAGCACCAGTAACAGTCACTGCTTGAGCAGTCTCATTTTCAAAAACAATATGATAATCCAATTATGTCTCCAGCCCAAAAGCCACACCAAACAGTATCACGTTGTGGTTGCATTTGTCTTTCGACAATCACAAGTGACTTCACAGAGCCTCATTCTCTATAGAACATTCCAGAAATGTATGAGAGCAATCTTCTGCTTATTCAAACATGGTCAAATCGGTTGAACTCGGTCTCAGTATCGCTGCAAAAAGACTATAGAAAGCCGTGTCGGAGTCGTGTGGCTCCACAAAAGCTCGATCTCTTTCAGACCAGATGCCACGTCAGTTGGTTACCTCAACTCACACAAGATTGGCGCACCTTTCAGGCTGTTCAAGAATTTGCATGTGTAGGAATTGCATATAGCTTTGCAACTGCAACTGCTCACCCAGAAGCGGGACAATAAACACTCTATCACACCCATATTTACAGTAATAAAAAGTAACAAAAATATTTACCAAAAATTGATTCCTCTTGAAGGGATTTTTCTCCAAACAAAACTTGTTTGCATTTATTGTCACTGCACCGGAACTTATTTACCGCCAGTCGGCTGCCTGCAAATGAAACTGGCCCATCCAGTTTAGTGGCAAATAATACTCGGCAGCGATTTGTAATGCTACAACAACAGCTATTAGTCTTAAGCACATACATATATGTATGTTTATGTGTGTATATATGTGCAAATGTGACAATGTGTTTAAGAAACAAATTCGCTACATTGCGGTTTACAACAAGCTGGATATACCAAATTGGGCTTGGGACTTTTCAAAGATCATGACAATGAAACTCCGCAGAAAGTGTGTAGGTATGTACATTTGTATGTAATTAGCACAAAAGGAATATGCACACACATACATACGTACATACATAGATTTGTAACGAATTGACAACTTGTTAAATGCCTGCAACATTGTTGCAACACACTTTGTTTTTCAAACGGTCCTAACACAACCGACTTTCCACGCTTCTCTGCCATGTCGGCAGCGAGATCTCTGAATGACGTACGGTAGCACCATTGTCAATTCTGCGGATGTGTACGAGTATTTACGTGCCGTTGTACGGACGGCAGTCGGCAATTGGCAATTGGCAATCGGTAGTTGATAGCCCCCGCTGAGATATTCTCGGTGCTGGTGCTGGTGCTGGGATGCAACAACTGGTTTCCCACCAATTGGCTACGCCAGTGATTTATGACTCTTGTTCATGTTGATTGAAGCTGGTGGTGTTGCTGTTGTTGTTGTTTTGTACGCCCCCGCTGCTTTCTTCGTTCGGTCAGTGAGTATTTTTGCAAATTGAGGCAATCTTTTGCATTATCTTTGCAATGAAAAGAAAGAAGAAGAAAAAAACAAAGAAGAATCAGCATTAAGTGGAATAGTCTACAAAGTACACACCATATACATATATACATATTTATATACATTTTTGCACATTTTAACACAATAAATATGTGCATTTGTGTTCAGAAGCTGTTGCAATCAATTTGCTTCTGCCACAAACTAAGAGGTTCTCAAAGAAACACCGAACACCGAGAACAGAAGAGCAATGACGGGTTATCGAGTGCGGGTAGTTGACTTTGATGTAAGCGTTGAACACAGTATGTTTGGAAGGTTAGTAGCTATACAATCGTCAAATGTGTTGCAATCAAGATAAGTAAGACCATTTCATTTCTTCGGTTTTCCGTGGGTGGACTAATATACCGTTGTTTTCAGACAAATTTGCTTCTCTTCGTGCTCATCACAGAAAAATATTACACATTCTTCTAAGCACGAAATTTTCCATAACAGCCTCGGTATCAAGGCTCCTAAAGTCAAGTTGGGCGAAGGACTGAAGCCTCATGATGTTGAACATTTTTATCGAAAAACCATCTTTTCCGATGAAGCTTCTTTTCTCCTTAGCGCTTACATTAAGAAAGAAATCTGTAGCATTTCGGACTCAAAAAATCCACACGTAAACAGGGAAAAGCCAAAGCACCGTAAAAGAGGGACTGTTTGGTGCGGCATATGAACCGGTGGCATAATTGTTCCATTTTTTCTTCGAAAACGAGGAAGCGGCTGCCGTTATCTACCGCCAATGACTACGTTACAATCGATATTTTACGTACTGTGTTTGAAAATGGCATTATTAGCTCAACTCAGGACTTAACTGGCAGCCTTACAGCTGCGTTTGACTCTGTTGGACTATTTTTTGTGAAAAGTGTGTAAAAAGGTTGATTTAAACGAAAATGTATAGCAAGTTTTTCTGCCCTTTTTCTTTATATATCTCCTTCTCTCTCTCTTTATCTCTCTATCTTTCTCTCTCTCTCTCTCTTTCTATCTATTTAAACTCCTCTCTCTATTTCTATATCAATCTCGCTCTAAACTCTATCAATACCTCTCTATCTCCATCTATCTCTTTCACGCCGTCAATCTCTTTCACGCCTTCTCTCTCTCTTTCTCTCTCTTTCTATCAATCTCTCTCTGTCTCTGTCAATCTCTATCCTTATTTCTGTCATTCTCTCTATATCTATCAATCACTCTATATCTCTGTTAATCTCTTTCCCTCTATTTCTATCTATCTGCCTCTCACTATCTCTATAATCTCTCTCTCTCTATATATATATATCTCCATATCTCTATCTCTCTCTTTATCTCTATCTCTATCTATATTTATCTTTCTCTCTTTCTGTCTCCTTCTATCTCTATATCTATCTTTCTCTCTCTCGCTCGCTCTCTTTCTCTCTCTCTCGCTTTTAAACTGCTGAAGGGATCTTTGGACGAGTCTACAGTCGTAACAGGAGCACTCATACGATCTCCCTCCAAAGCATAGCTATCTCTTCTTAACTTTCTTCCTCTGGACCTGCACTGCAAACGACAAGTGAGCTGCAGCCTAATCAGATCGAATTGCATTATAGGTCATGTCAAAATATAATCTCATGCAGAAGTTCATGTATATTCATTCCCCTCCTCATCAGAATTCCACACCGGAACGAATGGAAATACAAACTCTCTCGATCAGAGAGTCATAGTCATCTTTACGGATGGCTAAAAGCTTGATGAGAAAGAGGCTGGAAATTCTACACACCGAGGCCTAAATATATATGAGTATGGGACTACCAGACCATTGCAGCATCTTCCAAGCAGAATTCTTTTCAATTCAATTGCACGAGAGACGAACTCGTTGGCTCAAACATTAGAAAGATTGGAGATAGGATAGGAAAATAGGAGCCTCGCAACACTACCACAATGGACATATTGGCATGAAGCTTAAGTTTTTCTACCTTTTCCTATGCCCACGTTCTAGTTCATATCTTACATTTTACTGAAGAGAAAATTAGGAAAATTCGCTTAGAGTATGTATAGGAAAGCAACGCCTTAACACAGTTAACATCCATACAAATGTGTATATACATATGTATGTACATACATAGCTTAGTGTACGTGCAAAGTACCACAGAATCATATTTAATCCAACTG